AAGGACTTGTGTCGCTTAAGTTTCGTCGGAACGAAGTTACGGAAAGTTAATTAACAAACGGAGACGTAACAGTATGTATGAAAACGCAAATTCTAGTTAGGGAGTTTAAAAAAAAACTTTTATACTGGTATATTCAGTGTTTTCTGTTTCTTTGAAAATATCGACCATTTAACAATTAAATTAAACACGAAGTTAAAATCCATCCGATCAGTTATATAAACTGATGTGTCTGTCTTTTGTTAGCAAAAAAACTTTAAAATGGGATATTTGTGATGTGTCCACCACAGGTATCGAAAGTGATTTTTAGCGTTATAAATGTTCAGACTTATCGCTGTCTGATGGGGGGTTGGGCACATAAGTTTGAGTTAACATCTGATCTATGGAGACTTTTTTATGTCATTGGACAACATTCAAAGTAAGACTTCCACATCAAGATCAACACCCCTTTAAAATCGCTTTTAGATTATTGATAGTTTTAAATTACTAGCGACAGAAAAAGCCCCCTCCCCCAATGGAATACCTTCCCTTTTCCACTAACCAAAGAAGTCAGAAATCCATGCTAACCAGAAAATAAAATTAAATGTTTAAAAATTCATGAACCCAGTCGTAAGCCCAGCTAAAGTAAGCGTCACACGTAGATGTAGTAGCATAATGTTCCTTTTTAATTAAAAGTATGATTTTGATTTTATGTTTATTCGTGTTTCATATAACCTAGAATTTGGTCTTACAGCTGAATTGGGTGACTATGATCACAGAAGACATCAGCCTGGGTATATTTCAGAGTTCCGGTTTATATCGAATCAGACACCAAATTTGGAAGCTAAAGTTGCAGAGTTACATAAGAACCTTTCGTAAGTAATAACTTACACATTATATAAATATGAAAGAGATATGTATTTCTATGCCTAAAGAGTTGAAAGCTTTCTAAACAAAGTATATACAAAGGCTTTTGACTTTGAGTTTAAAAACAAGTGAGAAACTTGTTTGCAAATAACATGACTCATAGAAGTGTTTTTTTTTCAAACTCAAAGCTACTAAGCAGAACATTTTTTTCAATATTTCGAGTAGCATGTGTAATAAAGTTAAGTAGTTAGTCTGGTGTTCATGATTTTTTATTTTAGTTTTTTGTAAAGATGAGTGTATTTTTCTTATGATTTGGTTTTATAATACACAGAGGAAAAGTTCCAGCAACAGCAGAACTTAATTTCTTAGAAAGGGTTAGATGGCTGGATATGTACGGAGTTGATCTTCATCCAGTTTTGGTGAGTACAGTGTAGTGATGTTTGTCTGTTGAATATACCCTTAACTTGTCGGTTTGTTTTGTAATAGACCTATCCTGTGCCATAAGCTGTTATTGCAATTTTATTTATGTTCTTTCACATAGCATTTCAAGTTAATATATTTAGTTACAGATCTTATATAAAACATCGTATATATACTGAAGATACATACCATAAAATTTAAGGACAACAAGGGACCATCTCAAAGTCTGCCTTTATCATTCATATGTTTAGCAAGTCTTCGCTTAAACTCCCTTAAATTTTTTGTCAACCTGTACTTAAGTAGCAAACAAGTAATATTGCTGTACTACTTACAAAAAAAAAATATATATATATATATTTGACTTGGTTATGAATCACTTTTATTGCTACTTTTAATATAATTAATGTAGCTGAAGTTTTACTTCATATCATTATGAGTATGATTCATTGTTCTCATTAACATTGTGTCATCTTTATACACTTTTTTGTTCTTTTACAAAACATTGTAATATGAAATGCATTTCATAAGCTTACCTAATTTTTGATGATGAAAAGAAAACTCGGAATGACTGTCTTATCTAGAAATACAGGCACCAGCATGCTTAAGTTTACATATTAAACCACATTCACTGTGGATTAATTTGAATTACATTTTTTTTTTACTTTGTCAAGTTATCAAGCTTTTTAATTACTTTAATTTTATTGAATGAATGCGTATCACAAAATCAAAATAGCATTGTTTCTTTGGTATTTCTAGTAGTGCCATGTATAACGTACCAGTAAAATTTAATTAGATTTCAGGAATTTCTACAGCTTCCATTTATTTCTAACAAGCATACTGTGGTCTTTATGTTGTAGTTCTAATATTAAAACCAAAAAGGGTGTGGTTATTAACTGTTTTAGAATCAGTATCATTGAAGGTTTTATCCTCTTTATGTCTTATTGCTGTAACATTTTGCTGTCTCCTAAGGGCTTTTACTAGTTATAAAACAACAGGGGAGCAGCCACATTGACATAGTACCACCCACAGAACTTAAAGACTTAATGATTTTAATCTCAAAGCATAAATGTGTCTTTTACACTCAAATACCATAAGCTAAATTCTCTAAATATTTACCAGTAAAATCACAAGTACATTATTATGATGAATGTTTAAATGGAAAATCGTTTCTTGAATTTAAAAAGTTTATGTGACAACCAGTGGCATATCCAGGATTTTGAAAACGGGTAGGCACAATGATTCTGAACGTAAACGAGAAATTTTCGGGACTTCTCTGGTAGGGGTTAAATGGGTTATTTAGATTTGTTATAATGTTTGCTAGGTGTTGTTGTTATGGGACTGTGTCCACCTTTGACAACAGTTGTTTTATTATTATAAAGCTACTAAAATAAAAAAAGTAAACTATAATAAAAATAATACAAATTTCATTCATCTGAAGTTACTTGTTATCATATTTTCATTTCTAATAAGATAAAAAAATAAAGGAAATTTTGTTCCACATTTTAAGGGAGAGGACAACATTGAATATTTTCTTGGTCTCACACCAAGTGGGGTTATTGTTCTTCGAAACAAAACCAAAGTTGGAAACTATTTTTGGTGAGTTTATGTAACAGCTGAAAATTTACCCAAAATGTATCTTAATTTCTGGTCATTAATAAGTTGAAACAAAAACTTTTATCATATTCATTTATTCTAATTATTTTTCCTCCTTTTATAATTGTTATTTTTAAATAATTGTATGATATTTTAAGTTTATCCTCTTTTCTCTGTCTCTTGTAATGAATTGTTTTGTGCATAAAAAATTGTGAAAAATATGGCATCAGAAGTCTTTTATCTTTTTTATGCAAAATCCCTAAAAAGTTGATGTGGTATTACTATTAGTACAAAGAAACTGGTTCACAAATTTTTATTTTTAATCTAAGAAAAATCAAATAAAGTTAGTATTAATATGCTATTTTTTTTATGTATGTTATTATTTTTTCTAACATATAGGCCCAGAATAACAAAGGTTTATTTCAAGGGTAAATATTTCATGCTGAGAGTTAGAGACAAAAATGTAAGTATATTATGTTTCTGTACAGTATAAATAACTACTTACAGAACAATTTAATTTTCCTAGTTTTTAAATTTGCATTATATAACCTTAGCTACTCTAACAGATTACCATGGCTGAAAAGTCACTGTTCTAAGAGTTTTCTTTAAATAATAAAATTTTGAGATATATTAATTTCTTTTCATGTCATTCTGCCATGTTCACAAGTAAAAATACACTGGGAAGTATATGAGTATATATCCTATGAATCCTTATTTTAGTTATAATTTGACATGTGTTTTGAAGATCAAAGTTTCAATCTGGGAAAATTTATATTTCTATTGTGTTTGAATTAATTCTACCAATTAAGCTAGTTTATCAGACAATTGCTAGAATTTTGAGAAAAAAATTATTTTAATTTTCTGTAGAGGTTTAGTAAGTTACTTTTTCCACTATAAGGGCAATCCTAGAAGATTAATTTATAACATTTTTATCAGTTTAATGATAATAAGTATTTTGCTTTCAAGAAAATTTGCAACATACTTGTAACAGACTAAAACAAGCAGCCACTGGGTACAAATTGGTCAAGGTTTCTTTAAATTCTCCCCAGTGTTTGAAAGCTATTTCTGGTCCAAAAACTTTGTACCATTCTAATGGCCCTCCCCTCAGACAAGAAGATACAGTTTCCATCCATTTATTCTCTGGTAATTGGTACATATACAAATGTCTTTCCAAACTCTTAAGAAACTCAAATACATTAAAATTCAACTTACCGTCGACCTTCTCATCGGGCAGGGGTGGTGGGTTGACTGCAGTGACATAAATTGAAGAATTTTACACAGGGCTAGAGGTAGAATGAATTCTTGAAGTTTGAAGTGGAGGGGGCGACATGGTTTCTCTTGTGAGTAGATTTGTACAGTGGTGTTAGCATTTGCACTTATTCCATCAGTGCTGCCACATACTTTACAGTGACAATGCTAGCCATACTAAAAATTTAATCTGTTTGTACTAGATTGTTTTTGGTTTTTATTGTCATAGTTGATACTTTACCTTTAATTTCTTCTAGAATGATGAAAATACATATGGATTTGAGCTTCCAAGTAAACAGGCTTGTAAACATTTATGGAAGTGTTGTGTTGAGCATCATGCTTTCTTCAGGTAACTCTTGCTAGTGAAAAATTTATTTTACATATTTACATACAGAACCTCCTCCCATGTAATCATTCTTTTAAACTGCATAGAATGACTAGCAAAGTATAATAAAGCAACATATCTTTGTTTATTGTAAAGCAGTATTATTTTTTCTCACAACATACATAAAGAGATATACTATGAATTTACAAAATGTGTAGCAGAGAAACAGTAACTAATTCGTGACTTTTATGTTATTGTTTCTGAATGAAAATAAGAATAACAGTTTTATCTTGATTATCACATGTGCCAATCAAATGAAAATGTTGTATGTGGTAGAAAGACAAAGTTTTAGATTATTAGGATTTTTAAAACCTCATATTTATTATATATCATCTCCTAATCACACACACATCCTCCTTTTTTAATAGTTTTTTAATCTTCCTTATAATTTGTAGATTGATTTAATAAAAAGACAATAGTTGTTACAATGTCTTAGACAATGTAATATTGCATTAGATACACAAGATAGATTTAGAGATCTGATAATACTTATAAGTGTTAGGCAAATTTGTCTTTTATCCATCATTGTTATATATACTGTGTATGTTAGTTGTAGTTCATGTATATTTCTTTATAACACTTAAGCACTGTGAATTAACTTAGAAGGTCAAATAACATATTTAAGAAAATTGGCATTCTAAACCATTAATAACAGTATTCTTCTTAATATTTAGGTTAACTCAAGTAAGGGAGGTTCCAGGAAGTTCAGGAAAAATGTTTAGTTTGAGTTCAAGATTTCGGTACAGGTAATATTTGCAAAACAATGTAAATCACACATATATATATCAATGTGTGTTTTCACATTTTTGTTACCAGTTCTGTTCATTAGTTCTAAAATTAAGGCAACTGATGACTTTGTGGTTTATTAGGTTACTGCTATAGTGATATGTTGCTCATTTTGTTTGTATTGTGTGTCATAAAACTGTACTACATAACTCAACGTGTATATAAGAAAATTTTGAAAGGTTACACAGTGAATCACTTATACTATCTCATTAGTATAACATTTTGTGTTCTAACAGTGATTTTCACATTTATATGTATTTTGAAAAATACTAATTGCTTGTATTTATTAATTTTTTTTCTTATGCAATGTGTATTATATCTGATATCTAAGGAAACTGTTTTACTAAAAGTATGTTTAGTGTAAGAACCGTCCAAAATGTACACATTTGATACAGGTTGTATATTTGACAGATGTTCATACATTAGTCTGGACTGAGGGATAGAAGAAAATTTGAATTAATTTTTTGATAATGTGTTTTTGTTTGTTTTTACATATGTCATTGTGTAGAATATATGATAATATATATAATTGATTTTAAAATACACATCTTATTTAAAACATGGGTTTAAAATGCAGAAAATAAATGCATATCAAGTTGAAATGTGCTTGGCCAGACAGCTCTCGTGGTCTGCAATACTAAAAACGTGGGAAATATTAGGTGGCACTAATTAATTTTGTTTTTGTCACGTACAGTAGTTTTTTCTCCTATTCCTTCGAAATCATGCTTCGCACTTTTTAGGGTCATGGATTCATTGTAGGAGTGATGGTCAAACTCCATTATTCACTTAGAGCAGCCCAAGAGTTAGCATTGGGTGTTGTTGAGTAGCTGCTTTCCCTTTGTCTGTCAGTTTAAAATTAGGGTTTGTTTGTTTGTTTATTCAAAAGCAAAGCCACAGTGGGCTATCTGCTGTGTCCACCTTGTATTTTAGCATTGTAAGTCCATAGATAGCCTCTGTGCAGTTTTGCATGAAAATCTGAAACAAGCAAACAAACAAACTTTTTTTATTTGTCCTGGTCCATAGTGCCAAAACTGTCCCCTTTTTCATAGCACATATATCAACTGAACATTTTAAGTTTAGTTTATGCACCTACAGATCCTTTCTGTTTTACATCTTGCATGTTACAGTGGTAGAACACAGAAGCAGATGCAGTTGGACCTTCAACAAAACAGACCACCACCAACAGTAACTCGAGTTCCCAGTAGGCGTTACCAGAAACGTCTTGGTCAACCAGATGGTGCAGATGGTGAGATCATTTGGGAGTCTTAAATTTGGAAGAAAACATAATTGTATTATAAATGAAATTAAATGTATTGCAAATAAAAAGAAAGGATTACATATTACCTCTTTTCTTATGGATGTAAAAATACAGTGATTAAAAAGTCACCTTCCTATTTAATTTTCACAAATAGCTTATATAGTTTTTTTATCATTATTTAAAATGTTTAATGCATGCATAAGTAAGCTATTTTTTAACTTACATTATTGAGTTAAATCTCAATTCAGTGAGAAAAGCTCAAAGTTATCAAAAATATATGGCACCAATTCATATTGCAGAATCAAAATACAGTAAGTCCCTTTAACAAAAATGATGTTACTTTGAGCTTCACACAATCTGTACTGCTAAAACATCCTTTCATCACACTGTAAATTAATATGAATAATTTTTGGGTTAATTAATAAAAACAAAAGGGGGAATCAACAGTTTTTGCAGCAATTTGGTGATTCCTTATGCACTTGAACTAATTTTATCTATTCACATTAATTTTTGTAATTAATATACTTATGTTTCATAAAAAGTTTGACTTATATTTTCAATTCATACATGAATAATTTTGCATAACTTTGTAATGATTACAATTTATTCTTTAAAAATTGTATATTTGTTTTAATTTAAGATAACATATGTAGTAAGGGAGCTAGATCCAAGTTGGCTTTCATTAGGAACCTGACAAGAATCATATTATAATCAATCCAATGTTTCTTTTAGTCAAGAATATTTTTTTTTATTTTCACTGAGATATATGTATGGTTTTTATTTGGTCAGCTGGCAGTCAAATGAAAGAAGAACAGTATGAAAATAGTCTCATAGAAACCAAGTCAAATATTTCAATTCCCCAAGTAATCACCCCGTAAGTACAAATATCAAAAGCAAGTTGAACATTGTTTTAATATTATTTGCTTTATAATGATTTTTGCAGACAGACTTTCCTTGAAACACTGATAAATCACTTTAACACAGATTAACTCATCATTTTGAATTAGGCAAGTTAAGATTATATGTTTCTTCTTCTTCATATTTTTTCAGACTGGCATCCATGTATAGATCAACATCTGTTCCTTCCGCTCTTCCATTTTCTGATTCACCTTGCAGTGCAAGATCTGCCCCTTGGGTGGGTAGCAAACATAGGTGAGATTATGCTTTTCTTAGTGAATTGGATTTGGAGAATAGTTTAGCATAATGGAGGTTTTTTCTGTATCTTTTATAATAATGGTTTTGTGTTTAGCTGAATAATATTTGTTTTTGCTTATTGTGTCTTATTACATCTATCAGTACAGAGAAAGAACATGTTTACTGTACAATTGATTGCATCTTGAATGATAATACAGAGAGACAGCAGCATTATAGCATACTTTGTTTGTGCTTTTGTTGTATTATTTTATTGCAATGTCACAAAAGTGATGACTGCACCTTAAATATGCAACCTAACTTCAAATGATGCTCAAAAAATGTAATATAAAATTTCATCTTTCAATCAATATTCTTCTTACCATCTGATTTTATTTATTTTGTTGTACAAAAAAAACAGTTATTAATAAAATAAACTTTCTTGCTATTCAATACTCATGGAAAAATAAAATCTTTCATGTTAATAAAAGGAATATTTTTTTAGTGATGTCACTTTTTGTGCATAGCTAGCTTTTAATAATTCGTATAAGTTTATCTTCAAAGTGTGATATATTTTTAAGGAAGCTAACTCGTTTTCTGAGGTAATAATACTTACTGCTATAGCACATCTAGAGGTAACAACCTGGTTTCTACCTAGTAGCCTATTTCTAAAGTCATGTTTAAACCCATTTTAGTTTCTCTCAAATTTTAGTTTCTACAGAGTAATTTCTCTTGAAATTAATAGTACAATCTGTTTCATTATCTTGTGCTAATCAACTTTATCATACTCATTTTATTTATTTGATAGAGGTATGTACTCAAATTCCACTAATCCTTCACCTCGATCAGTGAAAAGTGCTGGTGGTTACTCTTCATCTCGCTTCCGTCTTCATCAGCGAAATGTTTCTGTAGAAAGTGACAGTAGTTGTGATTCAAGGAGAAGACGGTAAAATTATTTTAGTATTCTGATATGTTATATTCACTATGTTAACAGAAAAGTACTAAAATGTAACATGTGCATTTGCATTTTTTTCTCCTTCAATTATCCTCCACCCTTCTCTAAAGTTCAAAAAACATTGTACTTTATTTAATGGACCTGTTGGTCTTTTCTCATTTGAAGGCATCATCGTAGCAGAAAAAGTTCAGATAATGATAGTGAAGTTTCAAAGTCTTCCAGAGGATCCAAAGTCTCAAAGTCATCAAGAAACAGCAGCTCGAACAGAAGGTATGTCTTAGAAGGCATTAAAAAAAGTTCTTTTTACTGTTAACTTGATAAATAGGAGAAAACAAAATCTTGTAATAAATAAAAAACTATAAGTATAATCCATATGATATATATATATATTTGTGGAAGAAGTAACTAATTCTGTAATCAGGCTGGCTAGTATTGTATTTTTTAGGATACAGAAATTTACTTATTAAAAGCTTTAAAATAGTATGTTACATTTACCACCATACATAATAGTAACACTCAGTTTTCGTTTTTGCTGTAAATACATACCTACAAAAAAAAACGATCTTTATTAAATAGTATGCATCAAATAAAGGTTTACTAATTTTTAGTTCTTTTTTGTTTATATAGGTCACATCATAGAGGTGGTGGTAGTGGTAGTGAATCAGAAGGCCAGAAGAAGCACAAAAAACATCACAGGAGACATAAGTGAGTCATAATTATAGTTATGATGATTTAATTTACATTTATATTACCACAAACCCAAGATATTTAATTGTAGAAATGTATGAAATATGTTAAATGACTATTAAGTAATGTCAGTTTTTTAATTAACTTATGGTGTCAATGCTGTGAACATTTCATTGGTTTGAAAACATCAAATGTATATGATAAAGATACCTTAAACAGCATATGCAAAAGACTTACAAATTAAACTGAATAGTTAATATGCTGTATAGAAAATATTCCAATTGCATAACATTATGTCTTAATACACTAAAGTTTTTAGCTTTTTTCAGCCAGTCTTGTAGTGAAACTTGATTTGTGATTCATTTAGCTATAGGATTGTCAAATGAGTGAGGTTAATATTTGTGATTTAATTAGTGAAATAGAAATAAATTATGAACTATACATGTTTTTAATTTTGTCTTGTTAACTTTTGTTTTTATATTGTTTTATGCATATAACATTCTCTCTTGTTCGTATTAAGCCATATTTATGAGGTTGACAAGTTTTTTGTATTGTAAAAAAACAGAAGAACTTTTTTAGTTTAGAGATTTTATGTATATAATTAGTCTAATATTAGAAACTTACTCTAGGTCAGGAAGTACATATGAGTTGGTTGATTCTGAGGCCCAGTGGAAACTAGTGCAGCAGCAGCAACAGCAAAATAAGTACTTAAAGTATGTATAGTCATGAATGTTTAAATTTGAACCCAAAACTTGCAGATTTTATATATTTTATTATTTTCATGCATTGAGCAACAAATTTCAGCCCTTGGCTTCTGCATATGAGGAACTATTGGAAGGAAGAAAAACAAAAGGGTCAGAGAAGAATGTGGATGATAAAGAGGTTATAGTTTTAGGTGACTCCTTGACAAGGCATGTGGATAGAATAGTCTGTGGGGTAAATAGGGAGAAATGAATCAGATTATGCTACCCAGGGGCACAAGTGGGTGATATTACTGACAGAGCAGGAGATATAATAAAGGGGGCTAGCAGAGATGCAGTTTTTGTGGTGCATGTAGGGGCTAATGATGTAAGGAAAAGTAGGTCAGAGGAACTAATTAATAAGTACAAGGGATTGACAGAGGCATTTAAAGAAAAAAGCCATAACTTCATTTTGTCAGGAATACTGCCCAGAATTAACTGTGGGGATGAAGTTCTAAGTTGGTCACCAGGGCTAAATTCTAGGCTTAGGTTAGTATGTAAGGATGAGCAGATTGGTTGGTTGGACTTGTGGGATCAGTTCAGTGGGAGAAGAGAGCTTTTTGCAATGAATGGTTTACAGTTAAATAGAGTAGGGGCTGGCTTGTTTGCTAAGGCTATTAACTCAGCTGTAAGGGAAGTTTAAAATAGGACTAGACAGTAATGAGGGTCAAGAAAAACTAAATGCAAGAAGAATAACAGGTAGAGAAAAGTTTAGCAATGGAAATGAGTATAGAAGTAGTTATGAGGATAGGCTTAATTGTTATTATTGTAATGCTAGAAGTATAAGAAATAATAGATGACTTTAGAGCACTGGTAGGAATTGAAGATTTTGATATAATGGGAATAATTGAAACATGGTTAAATGTAGATGATTTTGATGACAGAATTTTCTTTGAAATACAGGGTTACAGGCTATTTAATAGGGATAGAGTATTAAAGAGGGGGGAGGAGTGGCTTTGTATGTAACATGTGAGTTACATCCTGTTGAACTTGAGGATATCAAAGATAATAGCAAGGAGATTGAATCCATTTGGGTTTCTATTAGTGGATATAAAGGGAAAAGGCTTTTAGTGGGAATTTGTTACAGACTACCAAATGATACTGATGAAGTTAGTGAGAAACTTTACAATGAGATTAAGATTCCAGCTGTTAATGAAGTCATAATTATGGGTGATTTTAATTTCAGGCATATAGATTGGGAAATTCTAGAGTCAAACCATGAGGGAGAAAGATTTTTAGAAACTGTTCAGGATGGCTTTCTTCACCAGTTAGTCAAGGAACGTACTAGAAACAATGCTATTTTAGATTTATTGTTAACTTCAAATACAGAAATGATTGAGAAGGTGGAAATTGGGGAACATCTGGGTGAAAGTGATCATTGCTCTATTAGGTTTGATGTCTTGCTGCATATTGAGATAAGGAATAATAATATTTCGGTTACAAATTTCAAAAATGTAAATTTTGAAGGGGTGTGACAAGAATTATCTGTTGTGAATTAGGCAGCTGAGTTATTTGGAGACTGATCAGATGTGGAAAATGTTTAAAGATAGATTTTTAAATATTCAAGGTAAACATATTCCTTATAGAAAGAAAAGGGTAGCTGTAAGTAAAAAGCAGGTTGGCTCACAAAGAGTATGAGATAAAGTTAAAGAAATGCATCATAAATTTAAGACACTTAAATTGACTGGTATGACAGGAGATTTAGAAAGTTCGTGAAACAGGAAATTAGGACATACAAAAAGAATGTATGAGAAAAAGTTTGCTGAAAATGTAAAAATTAACAGTAAGGTATTTCTTTTCAGTACATTAAAAGCAAAAAATATGTTAGGAGGTGGGGGGGGGGGGTAGTACGTTTGAGGGATGATAAGGAAGGAAGAATATGAAGGTAT